AGAAAATTTAATGTCATCACCTTTATCATAGAGCTTGGTTGTTAGATTACCATTTACGTCTTTTTCAAGAAAAATATCCAAAAACGAAACAGATGTGTCGGACTCTGTGGTATCTTTTATCTCAAGCTCACCAGGGTATATCGTATCGAAATAAGAATGAAAAGAACCATTGTTTATTGACAATACGTATTCGATATATCTAAATGTCGAGTTGAAGGCCACAGCAAGTGTTTTCTTTTTTCAGGCAAACGATTTTGCACAGATCGATCTGCTTCATATGTATAAAAGAAGGAGATGCTAAAGCTTTTTATGAAAATCAATGTTTGTGTAAGTTTAAAAAATAAAACTAAGAGTAGAGGGTCATTAGTCCTTAACTGCAAATGCCTGTCCAATCTTCCATGCAGAGTCGTTCGTTCGTTCCTCTCTCAAACACCTCTGCAATGGGCTCACATTAAAATTTTGACATAACGTATGAATGCTGATATTTGAAGGATTGTTTAAAATTAAACCAAGAGTAGTGATTAAAAAAGTCCCCCATCCTTTGATTTACCAGATATGTGGTTCACTTTTAAAATTGACACCAGAGAGCAGACAAGGTTTTAACTTGGTAATTTATTATTGTTCAAATTACACATTAAAATTCTAAATAATTCGAAAAATCGTTTCCCGTTAAATCAATTGGAAAATGGCAGGAAGCTTTTGAAACACATTCAATAAAAACACAGCTTGAAACGTATTTTACGCTGATGTTTGAATTATGTTATAAACACGGAAGTTTTACGGATAAAGTACCTCTTGGTTACAAATACATGTACGTGATCATAGTTGTAACTTGATCGCTTTCCATTTCAGCGATTCAAAATTGTCATCGGATATAATATTGGGGGGACAACAAAGTTATTATCCCCCCTTTTTTACAGCCATATATGAAGCTCTAATATGGAAAAAGTAGAGTTTCTTTACGGTTACTTTGCCGTTTAAAATTTGTTCAAATAAATATGACTTTCTTTACTTTACATAATCTTTTTAACATGATAGAATTTAAACAGATAGAGGAATTTCAAATTTATATGTATACATCATATATATATATATATATATATATATATATATATATATATATATATATATATATATATATATATATATATATATATATATATATATATATATATATATATATATATATATATATATATATATATATATATATATATATATATATATATATATATATATATATATATATATATATATATATATATATATATATATATATATATATATATATATATATATATATATATATATATATATATATATATATATATATATATATATATATATATATATATATATATATATATATATATATATATTGACGTCATAATGAACTTTCAAAAGCGCAATTATATGGCTTTTATTTGTCACAATATGAACCATTTTGTACAAAAACATTATATTGTCAAACTCCTGAAGATAATTGGAAATGAAACCGGTTGAGTTTATTTCGGTGTTGTGATTTTTTATTATAACAATACGTGTGTGGATTTATATCAAAGTTTTTTGTATATATATATATATATATATATATATATATATATATATATATATATATATATATATATATATATATATATATATATATATATATATATATATATATATATATATATATTCCTTTTGAAATGTCTAAAGCAGTCAGAAAAGCACTACATTCAAAATATTGTCTCAAGTTTACAGTTTATAACTCAAATGCTTTTAAATTTGATTATAAGGTATAATTCTAATACACTTTTTATATCAATTCCATGCATGTGTCTTAAAGGCAGAAATTTTTTAAAGCACTGCCCTCAAAAATACCTGGTCTAGGTAGTCCTGTTAATCAAGTGCATTAAGGTCCACAATTGGATTCTGGAACTTGATTGACATTTACTTTTTAGTCCCTGTGTATACCCTGTTCACTTTGTTTGGCACTCGTGGGACCTTCAAATTAACTTTTTATCCTTTGATGCACAAATATAAATCTAATTAACATAGAGTTTTAACTAAAATGTTTATTTGAATTTATTTTATAGATGTTTAAAACATAAAGGATAGGGGGTGTCGCTGCGTCACAACAGAACGTCACGTTTTTTAAAAAGTGTATTTTTTCTCAGAATGAAAAAGACAATCGAAACAGATTCTAAAAAAGCAACAAAACTTTCAGTTTATTAAAAGACACTATTCTCGTCATTTGCTATTCTTTGATTGAAAATTAAATGACGGCATAGATATTTGTGATCATAAACATTGTTGTTTTACTCTTTGAATTGAACAAAGGGATTGTCGAAATGGGAAAAAACGACCCAACGAGTTGTAATGCATTTTTGCTTCAAAATATGGGAATCATCACAAGCAAGTGTTACGTTGATTCATCAGACTCACAGAATAAAGAATGTAAATAAGACATCTTAATAGATGGTTTCAGCAATTTTGGGCGGGTGATTGGTCACTGAATGATCAGCAGAAGACAAGAAGAGCGAATGATAGGAGATCGGACGGAAATCACATACTCGGGCGCTTACTTGGTCACATATTTTCTTTTGTTATTCAGAAAAGAATTTAGAAGGAATCTTTTTTCGTATGTTTATGGTGACAAGGCTTCACTAAGATCAGAATAAACTAGATTTATTTTAATTAAATGTAGTTACATGTAACACGACTCTTTTCATTTAATAGATGGGATATGGGGAAAATGATTGAAGTCTAATTTAGTTGTTACAAGATTATTGCGTTTATTAACGTAAAAAATCGGAAAGAGAGCCTACATGTACATCAACCTATGAAAACGCAAGGGGTAATATCAGTTGCCATAGTTGCAATGGGGGAGTAGGCATCCCCTGTCAACCAGTCACTTGGGGAAGTAGGCTTTCCCTGTCGACAGGTCACATGGAGAAGTAGGCATTCCCTGTTGACCGGTCACATCGGGAAGTAGGCATTCCCTGTCGACCGGTCACATGGGGAAGTAGGCATTCCCTGTCGACCGGTCACAATACATGTAGTCATTTGTCCTTGTATTGATTGGGCAAACGGAATAAAATTCGCAGACATCTATACTTTTTGAAGATAGTAGTAAGATACAATGGAGATCCTACATCTGGTGTTTAAGAGGCTCATGTTTGCTTTGCACTTGATTTGTATTGATTTTTGGACTATGAGCTCAAATTCTGATCGTGATCATCATAATTTCTTTGCTGAATTTTTCCTAAATTTGCTGGAAGATTTCACGGGCTGATGACAATTTGTTTAGAAAATCAAATATATTTAATATGTTTGAAAACTTACATCTATTTCATTTGTAACTTCAATTTTCCTTGGAGCTTTGATTGTTGAAAAATTCAAACTAAATTCAGTGTTCAATAGCAATTTAGGAAAAAAAATGAAAAAAAGACATTTTTTCTCAAACTGTTGTTCCGCCAAAATTATAGTGTCTACTAGATTCCGACGTATGTGTGCAAATTTCATGCTAAGTTGTACAATTACAATACGGAAAAAAGTTTTAATCTTCAAGATGATTTAGCAAAAGTTGTTATACGTAAGTCCAATAGTGCAAACCAAAAATAAATAAAGAAAAAACGAAAATAATCTCGTTTTTCTTTATTTAATGATTTCGTTTTTCTTTATTTAATAATTTCCTTTTCTTTATTTAATGATTTATTATTTTCTTTATTTCATAATTTCGTTTTCCTTTATTTCAAAATTTCGTTTTTCATTATTAATTAATTACGTTTTTCTGTTTTTTAATAATTTCATTTTCTTTATTAAATAATCATTATTTACTGTCATACTTTAGTTTTTCATAATTTATTAATTTTGTTTTTTATTATTTAATAATTTCCTTTTTCTTTATTTAATGATTTATTATTTTCTTTATTTCATAATTTCGTTTTCCTTTATTTCAAAATTTCGTTTTTCATTATTAATTAATTTCGTTTTTCTGTTTTTTAATAATTTCATTTTCTTTATTAAATAATCATTATTTACTGTCATAATTTAGTTTTTCATAATTTATTAATTTTGTTTTTCATTATTTAATAATTTCCTTTTTCTTTATTTAATAATTTCATTTTCTTTATTTTATAATTTCGTTTTCCTTTATTTCATAATTTCGTTTTTCATTATTTAATAATTTCGTTTTTCTTTTTTTTAATAATTTCATTTTCTTTATTTAATAATTTATTTTTGTCTTTATTTCAGAATTTCGTTTTTATTTACTTATTTTTGGTTTTTCTTTTTTTTAATAATTTTTATTTAATAATTTATTTTTTTCTACATGTTTGTTATTTACTTAGATCCACGAATTTATGTCCACAAAGAAATATGATTTTTCACATACATGTACATTTCTTCTCAACTATTTTTAATTCAAGAATTCAAATACATGTACTTGAATTTCTTTTATTCTCTCCGAATTACAAAAATTGTTCTCAAAGGTACGTGATTTTAAACAGACACTTGGTGAATGGGTACCCCATCCATTTACATTTTTCATTTTGTAACTGGGACCCATATAGTCTTACCCTCTTCTTTTTTCTTTTTATTATATACTCTATATATCATGGATAATGTAACCTATTTGTACATTTGTCTCTATAAGCTGTTTTTAAATTTGTTGGTATTTTTCAACTAAGCTTTTGGGATGGACTCTTTTTAAGCAACGGGAGTGTATGTTCCGGGGAGGGGCAGAGACTATATAATTGTATTATGATTGGAGATAACAAAGTCGTTTTACATGTATATATTCAAGTGAGGCAAAACACTTTTATTAAATTTTATTCAATATAAACCTTAGGATCAATGTTTACAGAGGGAAAAGATACAAACAAAAATAAAGATAAAGTAAAACATTTCATAACATGCATATAAATTTCAAGATATATATAGTTGGAAGACATGCAAGATAAAAACGTAATAAGAAATCGTTAATTGAGCTATCAAAAACTTGACAAAATAGTTTTCATATTATACTTTAAAAAACCTTGCAGAGATTCTAACAAATATACAATATTTAATCCAAACATCTGAAACATTGCTTTTAGTGTATAATTAAAGCTTATAAATGAAGAATTTTTATTTGGTAAAAAAAATCAAAAGTGCATACTGTGCATATGAAAATATTCAATGCAATTTAATTACACATGTTTTAATCCTCATACGATATAAAGATTTTAAAGAAAAGTAAAATACGACATTTATAACGTTTTGTTTTCCCCAATATTTCTCATGTTAATGGATTAAAAGTAGTTTTATATTATCAAGAGGAATATATTAAAAAAAACATATTTCTAAATACTTTCATAATACCTCTTTTAAGCATCAATAATTTGATACATAGTAAATTTTCAAGTCTTAAAGATTTTATTAGCAAAATTAGCATATTGACCTGAAATGAGTAGATTAATACTGTCTTATTTAGTGCAGCGTGACTAAAACGTAACCCTGCCAGTATACAAAAGCTTGTTATTCATCCTCCTACACTTAATATTTGTTATAAGCATTCATTCTTTAATTTTTAAAATCAATATATTATATTTAGACATTAAACAAGTTTTCAAAATATCTAATTCATAAGCAATAATAACAAGTTTTTCTCAGTTGACAAAAGGAAAATATGTAGATCTAGACACAAAAGTTGTGACAGTTACATTGCACAACATTCAATGGATAATTTTTGTCCGGTATTTTAGAAAGTTTCTAAAATTTAAAAGCTATCTTTCCTCAGTACTTCTTAGAGAAGAATGTGGTCTTATCAGTTGGGGACAGTTCTATAAGTCCAGCATCTACAATGAAAAAAATGATACAGGATTAGCCAACACTCTTTGTTATGAACGTTTCATTCTACTTTAATTGATATAAATTCAAAATAAATTTGTAGTCAATTCTTAGCGTTAAATTTGATACAACTAAACTCCGTTTTAAAGTTTTCCCATTCATGTCATCTTTATTTTAAAGATCGTAATTACATGAGGTAAATATTATCAAAATTAATACATGTCAACATTTAATTGCTTAAAAAACAATTCCATAATTGTTTAGTCTCTCAAAGAAAACTTTACCATTATGCAATATATATTAATAATATATTGTTAAAATGCAAAGAAATGTGTTGAATATGTACATTCAGTAACTGATAATTAATTGACAAAACCTCTTTCGGAATATAAACAACGTTTTTGTGGTACCTACAACAAATCAATAAATAAAAAACTGTTTCTTCTGACTTTTTTTTAATGAAGAAATACAAGAAATACAAGTTGGAGATAATACCTTCCTCCTCCGTAGAATTAGGCTCTGGTAGTTTTTGAGGTGGGCTTTTCTTTTCGTGATCCAAGTAAGATTCTACACAGTCATACAAGAATTGGTACTGTGTCTAGAAATAAACAAACAATTATATACACCGCATGCATCACTTCCTATTTTTTCTTCAAAATACATGTACATTGTACATTAAGATGAAAGATTTAATTCATTCAGAACAATTTATTTTAAAAATCATTTTATATTTAGATCGGAGAAACACACACACACAAACACACCCTCACACACACACCGAGAGAGAGAGAGAGAGAGAGAGAGAGAGAGAGAGAGAGAGAGAGAGAGTCATCAGTCTGGCTTCAGATCTTTTTTTTTAAATAATACTTTGATTTTGGATTGTATTTTAAAGGAATTAAAAATGAAACTTTATTCTGAATAGTATTTTTAATACAAAATATGCTGACTCGTTTATCGTGTAACCAAACAAAATTCTAATATGCTTATATATGCTTTAAAACCTACCTCGTTTTCTATTAATTTCTCCCTATTTGCGATCAGGACGTGTGTGAGGTTGTAAATATCGACATGAGTATCGCCATTCCTAATAAGTTGTATGAGATAATCCATGGCAACGAAGATACCTGATTTACCAGTTCCATTCCTGATTTAAAATATATTCATTAATTAGATTACCGTAAAGTTAACTTTCATAAATACATTCAGTGAGACAGAAATAGTATAATTTGGTTATTCAACTCAAAAGTAAAACAAATTTAGAACGTACAGACAATGTATGATAAGTGGTCTGCTATCATACCCCTCCTCAGAATTGGAATGCACAAGATTAATGAGATTTAAAAGATCTGAACACTCATCTTTCGTGAAGTTGGAGAGAAATGATGACTGAAAGTGATTCACTGTGTGGCTCTTAGACCCCTGAAGTGAAATTTAACTCTATGTAGTTACATGTAAACTCAAATCAATACAATATATGAACTTAAAATAGGGTGTTGACAATATATTCCACTACAGTTTATAACACTGAGAACAGATTCCTCTCACCTTCACAATCTTTAAACATCGGAATGTACACCTGTGAACAGTTAAGGTTGACAGCGTTTGCACCTTGATTTTACCAAAAGTTCTTGTCATACCAGTTCTTGTTGGAAAGTATACTTCCTACAATTTAAATAAAAAGGAAGAACATTGTAAATGAATTTTATTTGGCGTTTATGATATTTGGCGGAAACTGATTTTTTAACAAGTTAGCATAGATTTCATTAGCTCTTTCTGAATATGCTTCATATGAATATATGAAATAATTATACAAAAAAAATCGCAATGTGCTTGGTTAAGCGGATGATGCTTTCCGCAAAAGGCGCTAAAAAGAATACACAGCCAAATGTAAAACCTTTACAGTATAAGATTTAATTATTTCATAAAAGTAAGTGGTTTGTCACAGTGAAGATTCACTCAAAGACAAAGTAAATTTATTGATGTATATGCCAAGTAAGATATTTGCCAATTGCAAGTTCATAAACATGCAAAATATTATTTATACATGTATGTGTGAAAAATTGTATGTAAATTAATACTGTGTTCTTTTGTTTTGTTTTTCTTCTTTTCTTCATGAAAACATATTAAACCTTTATAGTACTTTTAGAAAAAGTTAAATAATCTATCTAGACTATATACTGTGAAAAAAAATTTTGTGGAGGTTACTATATTTTTGTTGTTTTCCAGGTATGGAGAGACAGATGAATTATGACCACCTCTAAATGTAAATTTTCATATGCATTACTACTAAACATTTTCCAACATAAAATTAAAATCCCCACAAACCAATATTTTTCCTCAAACCTCGAGAATTTGACCCCACAATAATATGTAATTTTACGGAAGTCAGAGGGAAAAAATACCTTTTCACTGCTGGAAACAAGACTAATAATCGATGCTACTCTTTGCTTCCACACCATACCCCAAAAGTCATTTTGAGTCGAAATGAGTGGATATTGTGTCACAATGTAATAAGGGTAGTGACTATGTAGACCCTGATAAATAAAAAAAAAATTACACTTATACATATATATTAAAATCATGAATGACCTACAGTGAAAAGCACCGCTGCTTTACAAGTTATTTACCTCTATAACACTCGCGTTGATGTAGTCGTTCACACTGGTTGTACCGGATTCCCTCAATCTGTTGTAGTCATCTAAAAAATTTGTACAGCGTAAAGTGCAGAGCATAATTTACATGTAACTTTATAAGAAAACGAACTGTTTCATTTTCATTTTTATCAACGGCATATCCAATAGATCATCAGTGTTGTTCAAAGGACTGGCCTTTTTTGTTAGGAATAAAGAGACAAGTCCTTTTCCTGAAGTAAATTTAAAAATAACAATTTTTTTTTTATTATTAGAAAGTGGAAAAAGACACATTACATGGCAAGACGTCTCTGCTTCTGTTTTTATGTCTGTTCTGTGATGCTGCTCCTATGTCTGTAGGTCTCTGCTCGCAGGATCTCAGTATACTCTAAACAGGATAAAAAAGAATTTAAAAAATCAAATTTTAGTCTTAAAATACCGTGTTAGAGCTTTATAAAAATGTTTTTTTTCTAAAAAAGGGGAAAATATTATTTACCCTAAATTCTTCCTCTGGCCAACTAACATCATCACACAAACTCTCATAGGTATCTCCAAATGTACTCAAACGTATTCTATAAACAAATCAGAATTAAAAAATGTCAAACTTATTGGTTATAAATTAACGCTGAATATTATACGTAGAAAGAAAGAAGTGCGATTTAGATATATTACCTGTGGGTACTATCCGCCGCTTGGTTTATAGAAATTACAGAACCTCGATGCGAACTCTTGTCATCTGTATTATATCTAAAACCAGCATAATTTTGTTAGTTTAATTCAGAAAAAATTGATGACTAATACACAGCGCTACAACACAGAAACCTCTGTAGTAAATTAAAAAAAAATATTTTAGTAATGATTTATTTTTTGTGACCATGATCCTGCAAATTTCATAAATTACCATTGAATTACATGTATGACATTTGAAAGTTAATTGGTAGATAACGTATATTTCAATGAAAAGAAAATCTTATATTCCGGAACAGAATCCATATACTGGGACGTTGGTTTTTATGCACTTCAATTCATTTATTATTAGAAAAATTAAAAAAAAAATAATAATAATAAATTTCATACCCTTTAAAAGCCCTGATTAAGAAATCGATTCCCACCAAGACAAGGCATTTAACGTTTGTTTTTAAATTTTTGTTTTATTTTCAAATTTTCAAAATTAAGTTACTATTACAAATGAGTTAACACATTAATACACTTTAGGCAATCTTTGTTTATACAAGTACATATAAATGAAAGTTTTAGGAAAAAATAATGAAATTGCAAAAACGTAATATAAATCTAATTTTATGGAAGAAAAATAATGAAATTATGTAAATTATATACAAATAAACTTATTATCAAATAAGAAATGCCTTACGCATACAATGGGTTGGATGCTGACATTAGCTCCGAATACGTAAAGGTGGCATCATTTCCCGTTCCCCATCTGTAAAAACAAGTTTTTTCTTATATTTATGTTTTCTTTTATGAGATTATCTCTAATCTTTATAAACCATTCTACATAAAGTATAATAATGTGCTTTTCATCCAACCCCCGCAGCAAGAGATAACTCTACACTTGTTGCAATTTATTTACGTGTATTAACGATCATTGATGAAAGTACAAGTGTGTTTACCTTAGCCAAAGATACTGTGTTTTTGTTAAGGAATTTAGGTCTCAGCACTCAACATAATATATTCCTTGTTCAACAAAGGAAATGTACATTAAAGAATGAAAAAGTGATATATTAAGTTATACAAAAGTATAAATTACAGAATGTATCCCTTTCTTTTAGCGAATATAACGATGACAGCAATAAGTATTATAATCAGTATGACAATAAGCAGCAGGACAGGAATCAACCACTGTTGTTGTTCTTCTTGTGTTGATTTTGCTAAAAATAGATTGAATACAGATATGTTATGTAAGGTTGGACGCCATCTATCTACTCAGTGTTTTTTTAACTGCTTAACACCTCGGCAAAGAAATATTTAAAAACATGATTCATTTTGCTGACTGCCACCCCCAGCCTCGTTAACTGCTCAACACTTACATGATTCATTTTCTGTTTCTCTTTCACTTTCACTTTGAGATATGTCTACCAAAATGTCTGGAACATCATAAATTTGACTTGCGGTTATTCAAACTCAGTTTTCAATACATTTTGCTTATGGAATGACACTCTTCTTATGATCAAAAACGTTAAAATAAAAAAATTATATATTGTACGTGGTACACAGGAAAACAATTATAACTTGGAAATCTTACCTTGTTTAGCAACACATACTTCATTAACTAAATCAATTTCTGAGTACACAGGACAATAACACACTTGGTTCTCAGGATGGCAGTAAGAGGTTTTGCATTCTTCATTAACATCACATGAGGAGTTCCAAAGTTTTCCTTTCAAAAATAAAAAATCAATGATAATTAAATCAGTTGCTCTTCAAAAAAAAAATCAAACTTAAGAATTTCTTTTGCATTTAATCTTTACCATGTTAAAATATTTTAAAAATGATTGTTGATATCAGAAATCCCCAATTCTTCCATATTAGGGATGTCAAATCGGTCAATTTTCAATACTCGGTTACTCGGACGTTTTTCCGATCGAGTACCCGGGTACTCGATAAAAGTTTAAATAAATATGAACAAGTAAATTTGAGACTGTAAAACATTGTAAACTTTTGTAGAAATAAAAACAGATGCAATGATAGAAGGCTTAAACGTAAATGTATTTTCTGTTGTAATAATGATGAGCACTTCGTGCCCGACGAAATTTAATATAATATTTATTAAAATTCAATTTATTTATCAGATAAACACAAGAAATACGAGGGTTGTCCGTAAAGTTCGTGGACAGGCTAAGAATTAAATAAATGTTGCGTCATTGATATTTATTATTAGCATTTTTGTGATTCTTAACTAAATGTGAACTGAGAAATGTAAAATCGGATTCTATTTCAAATGTTTAATTACAATTATGACTTCATAATCAGACTTGGTATGGAGACCTGGAGCACCGCGAAATTTCGATAAAAAAATTATTTATCACGTTATAAATTTCATTTGCATTTTATAAAATTCTGCAGAAATCTGGATAACTTTTACATTATGAGGTTGACAGAAGTTATCACTTCAAACCCGCAAAATTTGAAAATTCAGTTGTAAAATGGCCGAGCAATCAAAGTTAGAACATGATAAGACGGATCGGAATTGTTCAAAAAAGGGACGTTTTCGGATAAGGTGGAGCAGTGAGCAGTGATAAAATTCTGTGTAGACATCGGAAAAAAACAACTACAAAGACCAATAGATTTTATAAACAATCGGGAAAACATAGTAAAAGAAGCCGTACACTATTATTTAAGTGGTATATAATATTTTCGGACGGAAGAAACAGTTTACAGGATGACATGCGTGAACAAAAACCATCATTCCGAGATTTCAGCGCTGTAGAAATGAACTTCGTAACGTAACTTTACCGTATTTCCGTGAATAAAATTGTTTTTACGCGGATAGAAGTTGAAGGATTGCAGGATATGAGACAGGGATTGTTATATATTGTTTTACGTATGAAACCTGAACATTTCGTGCACATAGTTTTGACTAGTTAAAGCGACATAAGAAATTTATTGAGATATACGGTGACTATATTAAGAAAAATAACACGTACTCGTATTATGCTTTTGACGTCGCGTGACGTCAAGAATTTTCATTTTAGTGCTCCGGGTATGAGTGTGTGTCATTTTTATTTTGATAAAATTATAATTATTTGTGCTCTGTTTTTCTTGAAAACTTGCATATTAATAAATGAAACATGAATTTAATGAAAATAATAGTTTCACATATTTTATCCATGTTTGTCAGTAATTATCAATGTTGTCCACGAACTTTCCGGACAACCCTCGTAAATTCATAAGTTGTTCACAATGTTTTTGTTTTAAAAAAATAATCTGCTCCGTAATTATAATGTAACTTTTTGTCGCGTTTGACGACCAGGTATCAGCCGTCAGAGCTTCACGTGCACGGTATCAACTTGGACTTGATCAAGTTCTCCGAACAGAGCGGAATTACGATTTTCGTACACTTTTTCGATCCTAGATTTTTATAATATTACAGGACGGTATTTTGTAGTTTGGTGCAACGATGGACATCAGTTTTTCTGCTAGCCTTTGCCTTTAACCAGTTGTATTGGCATGTAATCAAACACAACCATATCAACAATCGCACGTGTAATCATCCGCTCTTTTCCCGAGAATTAACAGCTTCTCGGAGAATTCACAAAATTATCTAATTTATTAAACATAATGGATCTTTAACGATGTTCAGTGAAAACAAATAATTACAGCCAAATAAAAATTAAGGAAGAAGGCAGCCAAAGGTGAGAAAAGCCAGGTACCCCAGGTGCTTGGTCACGATAATTACTGTATAAACACTGCCACAGGCAATAACGGTCATTTAGATTCGTAGAAAACCCTAATTACTGTATGTACAAGTGCAATGAGCATTTTACGTTTTAAAGCAGATTGTTTAATGCATTAATAAATAAGCTTAGAAATATTCAAAAATATATATCCGAGTAACCGAGTACCGATTTTAGTATTCGATACTCGGACGTTCGATCGAGTACCCGGTTAACCGGGTACTCGTTGACATCCCTAATATATATATATATATATATATATATATATATATATATATATATATATATATATATATAAGATTTTCTTAAATTAACGTCCAAGATTGGGTTTCATAGATGTAAACAACCCTCAGAAAGATAGTTTAAATGATAATTAAATTTCATCAATAACTTTAGACAAAAGAATTAAGGAAAAGAAAATCAAAGAAAGAAAAAGAAAAATATAGAGAAAACTGTAGAATAAGGCAGTGGAAATGTACATTATGATTCGGCTTTTAATGTTCCAAATACATGAAGAAAATTATAAAGGTGAATTTGAATAAAGTGTTTAGTCAATAGCGGTTCAATAGCAATTGCAAAATTATTTAAAAAAAAATAAATTAATGGAATCAGTATCAAATCGAATAAAGTATTCTAAGATTAAGTTATAATGAATGCAAAGACAAAAAAATCCTTTTGTTTATACAATAAAATATGTTCAAAACAAAAAAGTTTTCACAGGTTAGAGCTATTTAGAGTATTCACAAGTTCATTTTATTCATTTTGTCAATCAATTGATATGTAAATCAAAATAAGGTTTAATTTATTAATTTGTAAAAATGACATCTACTTTATGATATCCAAATCCGCTAACACATAACGAAAACACATTTACCACATCTCTTTGCCGTTATGATTATGTCATCTATAAGCACAGGCAAACGATTGTAGATGTTCACAATAAAATGAATCTGCAAAAAATATGTAAACATACTTTTAATGAAGTAATATACAATTTTTTCAAGCAAACATCAAAAAACTGTTTTAACCTCAAGCTTATTGACATGCAAACGCACCTTGATCTCTGAAGATGCCTTTATGGAGACACGCGCAGTTGACCAATCCCGTTCTTGAAACAGTCTATTACTTATCAAATACCCATTTCTTATCACCTGAATTCGAAGACTTTGTTTCATTGGATCGCGTGTGAAATATTTGACTTGAAGACAACTATCAGTTTCTACAAAAGTATTTAAGAAGAGTCACATTCTTTCATCTTTAACTTTAAGAAAAGTTTAAATTGATTATTTATATGCTCATTTAAGGCAACACTTACTCAACGATATATTCTTGAGGGAAAATGAAAACATTGTGCTTTCCGGAGACAGTCTTGTTTGCAAGTAGTGGTTGTTTGTCAGATGATAGTTATCACTAATCGAATGAGTTCTGTCCTGTAATGAAGTTCTCTGTGATCTTAATTACTCATAAATATGAGTGTCAACATTTGCTTACACAGGATATATATTGTTTATTCATTTTTTTAATAGAAAAAAAAATACCTTTAATAATTTCAGTTTGACTTTACAATGACAACTATTTCTGATTTATGGTTAGATATGATTAGCTGGAATCTCACCTCTTCGATCTCCCACTGCATTGGAGGTAATGCAATTTTGCACTGTTTGAGACTGTCTGGCATATCAAATGCACAGAAATATGTGATGTCATTGATACCTGCAACAATTGCATAATATCCTAATTAAAATAACAGCCTGTTTTTCGAAGGATGATTGATCTGAATGGTTATATTGGAAACACAGTGGAAATCCACATCTACTAAGTTTAAAATTTTAATATTTATTAATGAACATTACGACAATAATTAAAAAAGAAAACGATTTTTTGAATCATACCGGAGCACGTAACACCGGTGTCATAAACGCCATCTTTACATAAACATACATCTCCATAGCAATAAGAGTATGCAGGGTGACAGTTGTCTCCTGATTTCCCGCAATTACATGTTTTGCCGCTCCATCCTGACTGGCAAATACAGCTTCCGGTTTGACTATTACACCCATCAGAGGTTCCTCTTATGCAGTCACATAATTTTTCACATGTTAATCCGTATTTCCATTGATCACAATCTAAAAGAGCAATGATTACATGAATATATTTCTAAATCAAATGTATTTCATTTTCAGAGGATATAAGTTCTCGTCCCTTACTACAATGCCCTTGAAAGATTTTGAAGTCATCAAGTGCAATATCTGACTGATACCCATCGCCTCTGATTCCAGTTATCATAATCTATAAAGAAGAAAGACACATCCGTGACGCTCTCCTTAAAGCATATTTGTCCTCAAAAAGCACATACTTTCATTGATCTGTATTAATATGTATGAAACATGTACAAGAAAGCTAATGAATCGAAATGTGTTGGATACATTGTAAATAAAACAAACACAAAATAATATTTAATAATGATAATAAAACTCATTTTAAATATTAAATAAAATCGCTGATCTGATAACAAAGATCTTGAATTGGCAAAACAAATTTATCATTTTAATCAAAAACATAGTCTTAGCATACCAATGAAGAGGTGGGTGGGAGAGAAAAAAAGCCCTTGTCCCATCTGGAACCAAAATGTCCTGACTTTGTCATTACAAAGAATTTTTTTCAATTGAGTAATTTCAGATCCATATGTGTCCTGTGCAGTTATATTCAAGTCATCCATATCATCCTCTCTCATGTGATAATAAAACTGGAAACAGGCATGTGTAGCTTGAAGAATAAAAAATGAATTATAAATTATATTTTGCATAAAATATATTTAATTTTATAAATAAATTAAACCACTTATTAAATAACTTTTGACTATATTGTGAAAAAAAAGTGATAATGCCTTTTATCGTTTCTGCTTGTTACAATTGATATACATGTACTAAATAAATTTTATATCTGAGAAAGATATAATACAGAGGATGAACATTCATTTTTTTCCCTTCGCATAGAGTATATAGCAGCAGATTTGTATATCAGTAATGTGATTTTTTACAACAATTTATCGAGCAATATGCCTGTAGATTACCTATTTCCAGAATCAAATAACTTTGTTAATTACCTCGTTATTTAGATACGTATATATATAACCTGATCTATTGTGAAAGCTTTGAGATAGAAAGATTTATCGTATATTGTTTAACGTCCCTCTCGAGAATTTTTCACTCATATGGAGACGCCACCACTTGCCGGTGGATATTCAAATTTTCATCCTTGCTCGGCACTCAATAAATTTAGGGATCTTTTTCAGAAATTGCCAGCACCTATAGACAGCACTTCGGTTTGAATCAACGGTCTCATATATTCACTCCGTCTCCACGTCCCACAGTATGAAGGTATATTGAACCCGCGACGTAAGGATCAAGGAATTGACTTCGACTCTAGAAAGGTTAACCACTGTGTCACGCAAGCGACACTTTGAGATAGAAAACATTTTTGTTTAATTCTTTAATTATTTGCAGGTATAGCAATATTTTTAATTATTTAAAACGTACCCAATTAATAACCAAGGACATTTTTTTTCATGTACATAAACCTATTTTTGGCTCCATCTTTGCTGGCCAATGTTTTTTTTATATGCTATTCTCATCATAAATCCCTGGTATATAGTGCAGTCAAAAGAAGAATCTTTTCGTCACGTTATCTCAAATCTACACAGGTACGCACAGATTGCGTCATCAATAGAAAATAAACATTAAAAAATAATCAAAGTCTTTAAATACTAATTAAGAAGCAAGTATTGAGTTTGTTATTTAAAGTACTAAACTACAGCTTCGATAAAGATTCTTAATGACATACTTTAAAGATATTGGTTGACACCATTTAAAGCTATTCATAGAATGGCATGCTGTGAAAAAGAATTTTAAATATTTTTAAAAGGATTTTTTTTCAAGATATATAGCGAACAAATATTTTGATTTACAAAAAAAAAACCCAATCGCTGATTGTCAGCTTTGGACAAACTTCAGAATGTATTAATTTTCCCAGAAGCGTATATACGGTATATATGCCAACGGTATATATGCCAAAGGTTCATGAGTAAAGTATTGTATCAGAAACCCTTGGTTAGCGAAAATGATTGGGCTCATTCTTTGTTGGAGATTTTTATTTTGAAGTTTTGAATGAGGGTTTGGTCCTTTATTTGAACAAAGTTGAATCCCCTTTACCCAAAAATAAGTTGCGCTAAGTGAGGTTGATTCTTGAGAAGATGAAATTTTGAGTAGTTTGCTACGAAAACGACGAAAGGCAACGTACAATGAAGTTTTAAGTTTCTTCGTCGTAAAAAACATCAAAATCTATATGAGTTATACAGCAAATTCCAAGTAGATATACAAATATATAGGTATATATGTTATAAAGAGCACCCGAATGACTTTTACAAATGAAAAATAAAAGAAAACATACTAAGATTTAAATTAGATACGGGTATTTCCATTACTCCTTTATCGCCAGTGGATTGGCTGGTGGCTTCAGTATAAACGTAGTATTTTCCTTCTCTCGCCGAGTATAGGCCCGTGTCATCACTGGGTGTTCCACTCTATAAAATAAAATTTTAATTTTAAAATTAAGCGATATTTCCTACAATCTCAATCAGAAATCAGCATCAATTCTTACGCTATCTTTCCTCCATTTCATGTCGCCATAATTTTTAATTGAACATGTTTCAAAATCTGTTTCAAACGAACAGGAATACAACACGTCTGTGACATCTGTAAGAGATATGCATGGATTAAGTCATAATTATTATCCTTTTAAGATGTCAATATGCCATTGGCTGAAAGTGATCGACTCTCATTAATTTTCAACCTTTCTAGACATACACAATCTTATGTTATACATTTTTTTAGAAGATGTATCATTGATGCATATAATTATGTAAATAGCAATATGTTCAAAAATTAAAAAACATTAGTTTTATAGATTAAATGCAATATCACTGATCCCATTTCTGGTTGATCAATCAACATCCTTTAAAGATATATCAATTTCAAATTTTTCAATAAGGCATGTTACTCAATATGATCAAGTAAACGATTTGTGTCCTTAAAATTAAAAGTTTTGAATATTTCATAAAAGAATTTTTTTTCCAAACAATGTCATGTTGTACATGTTATACATTTTCCTAAATGAAATGACCAGAAAACACATGAGAGAGAATAAATAAAAAAAATCCTTTATGTGTAATCTGTTGTGTTACAGTTTTAAACGGTGCAAATATGATATCACATACCTGAACAGTTGGATGGTTTAGTGAAAACACCGTCCACACATAGGCATTTGTACTCATCGCAGTACGAATTTTCGCCACATTTCATTCTTCGTCCGCACGTGCAACGTACACCAGACCATCCACTCCTGCACATGCATTCCCCCGTGTCTTTGTCACATGACAAAGAGTTACTACGGTCACAAACGCAATCGTCTTTACATTCATTTCCATAAGTGAAGGCGGGACAATCTTCAAAAAATATATAAAATCTTGATTATCTTAAGTTTATTATATTATAATAATAATTTTATCTTTCTCTCTCTCTTAAAAGCCAAGAACAAATATTGACAACTGTTAAAACGTATTCAATTTCATATAAATAGTATGCAAGAAAAACCATTAATTCCTGCAGTCATTGTGGCACGTTTTACAAAACAGTTGCAGATAAGATTTTCCTCTTAATCTTAAGGTAGATCGCAGGTTTGCTGACGTCACAATAGGATTTGACGTAAAAAGATTACCGCGTTCAGATTAGCAAGCAAAAAATATATCTTCAACAGTAGTGAAATATATATTAAAGGTTGTTTGTTGTTGTTTTTAAATATTTTTTATGTAATTGAAAATATTTGCTGTTCTGATCAAGGTTGAATTTTACATTATAAGAAGTTTTTAACGTTGATATCTGTTGTGTGTACATACCTTTCTAAAATACTATTGTCTAATTGTGAATGCAATACAAAGACAGATCCACCGCCAGTGTGTCTGGCGCCTGCCCTGCATTTTAATTTTTTTTTTACTTTTAAAAATAATTTTTTGTTTGTTTAATTTAGACTACATAGTACACACTAATCTACTTTATCTTTATTTGTTCAACAATCATCTCTAACTTCATTGCTTTGCGATGATGTACGCTTATATCAGTAATATTTTTATGCGCAACAAATATTGTCTGAGTCAAGTACAGGTACAAGATTTTTAAAACGAGAAAGAAAAGGACATATGGTACGTCAATATGCCTATCATTCGTACATGAGTTTTTCTTATTGATGATTTTTTTTTCTTTTGGTGCGGGGGGGGGGGGGGGGGTTAAATTATATAATTATAAAAAGGAGATACGTTAATAATAATCACTAAATAAAATATCACCAACTAAAATATGTATGTCCTATAAATTGACATCTATAATAAACTAAGGTCCTTTTATTGACAATCAATAGCGATTCGGCGTACAACTGCGTTTGGTGTTTTGTGTGGAAGTTGGGATGTCAAGGCAAGAGTTTCAAACCCATAGGAAGCAATTTCAGTTATGGGCTCAGCTACTCGTATATGTTTTCAGTTGGAGTTATCAATTTTGAAAGTACGGATTGGGGGGGGGGGGGGGGGGCAACCAAAAAAAATTTTCTCTACCTCTTTGTGAAAGTTGACAAGCAAATAAAAAGGAAATTGCCCAAACTCAAAAATCCTATTTCGTAAGGGGGGGGGGGGGGGGGGGTAGTGGCCAACCTTTTCCAAGGCAAACTTCCTTTTACTTCCAATTTTTTGGCATAAAATACTACATTTCCTTCATATCACTATATGGTGGTAAGAAGTGGGGGGGGGGGGGGCAACCAACCCCTTCAGTGTACATTTTCAATAGTAAAGGTAGTGTTGGGAAAAAGGTGAGGGGGGGCAGGCCCCTCTGTTGCCACGTACCTGCTATCAACAACCAAAAATTATCAAGCATAAAAAAGGAGGGGGAAGTATCAGGCATTTTAATTGAGGGACACAAGCATGTGGTAATAATTTATCTAAAGTTTTAATACTTGTTTTCTATATTTTTTGTTCTATAGTACGAGGGTTGTCCCGTAAAATCGTGGACAGGTTGTCTAGTGTTAAAAATAAACATTAATGCGTTTTGAAATTTTCACTATTATTTTGTACATATTTTAGTAATATACATAGTAAATTTCAGATAAATATATGCATAAATAAACAAATTATGAGATTTTATGCCATGTATTGTATCACCTTACGGCGCAGGGATTATAAAATCAAACAATGTAATTAAAATTAGATCCTTTACGCTCCTTTATTTTGTTATGTCGCTGTAAGGCGACATAACAATATAAAGGAGCGTAAAGGATCTAATTTTAAGTAGATTGTAAAATCAAAGTGTCTAAAACAGCATCACATTTTATCTTTGCTGAAAATGAAGTTGGATTAGTCCGACTTTAATCTAAGAATTTCATTGATACACATTCTTTAGTCTCCATAAACAGCGATCTTCTGAAGATTTATTAGAAAGTTACAAACAATATTCTTACGATCATTCAACTAATAGAAAATCTCATATCGGCGGTCTACTTTGAAAACGTCTTTTGCTATTACATTAGGAGTTTGTCTGTATGTTTTGTACTCTCCAAGGACTCGATCAGAAAAAAAAACAGCGCTAAGATTCATTTGTATACTTAAGATATTGAGATATTTTTATAATTATTTTTCTTCTATGATCATTTCAAGTCTCTAAAGGTGTCCGTACAACATCGAAATAATACTGAACTGTTCTCCGGTGCGCCGTTACGTCAAAATACGTCGTCATTTTCCTGTGTTGTGTTTACCTCTTTCCCATTTCAAATGCCCGAGAAACTGCCAAAAATTAAGCAAATGCCTTAAAATTTTACAAAATTGATTGTGGATTTGAATTAAGATAATTTTAATCCAAATCTTATGTATTTAAAATTTTTATTTTGAATTCAAACTTGTGTATTCTTTAATAAAACCTTGATTTTTGTCCGTTCGCCGTAGGACAATACCTCTTGCACATTCAAGCATAAAAATCTTTATTTTTGCCTATATTTAATCAAAAAAAATTATCATGCACTTAAATTTAGTTCGCCCATTACTTTTCGAGAAAAACGCTGTGTCCACGATTTTACAGGACAACCCTCGTATACTGTACTGTATGCTTTCTATAGTATTCTAAACATCGCCAAAGTAATGATAAAAAATTGCCTTTACGACATTTTGAAGGGAAAACTGAAGTCTTTTAATTCAGGGATAGACAAAAGTAATTCGTTCTATGAAGTATAAATGTAAACAACGTAGTATATAAAGCTATTTTCATTCAATAATAATGATCGTATTTATATAGCGCCTTTCTAGCATAAATGCTACTCAAAGCGCTTTACAATGCATTCTACAATATTTTTGATTTCAAATTAGGTCTGTTTTATTAATAGATAAAAATGATGCAAAAATATGTATGTTTGTAAAATGTTCTCAAATACGGTAAGATGTTACTTTTTTCTAACATCCATTTATATTTGTTAAAATTTTTTGCATCCCTAGCCTTACTTTTATTACGGTTAAATATGACTATGATTATATCGGGAAATTGAATTCAAAGATTGCTTGTTTTATTTTGAGTGAATTGTTGATTAATTCAATTTTTTTCGAATCATGCAGGCATACGAAAATAATGACGTCGAACCAACGTAATATAACGTCGTGATGAAAATATAATACTTTTGGTGAAAAATTGTAAAACTTTTAAGTTTTTTTGCAAGAAATTGAGCGAGAACACATATTAATTTTTTCTAATAAATCGATTCAAAATTTACATCACATTCATTGTATTGAGTAATATAAAATTCGTCTTTTTCGTCTTAATTTTATGATTATGGTTTTGAAATGCGTGTACTGGCAGAAAAGGGACATTTTACTATATATTTCATTGAAAAAGCGTCATCTGTTCTCATCAACAATAGCGCATTTGATTTACAATTACAATCTAACCACGCAGACGAATCTTATAAAAATTTTAGAAAGAAAAATTTAAAACGAGAGGAGTTAGTTGACAGATTTTCAGCCTAAGTTTTCAGGCAGACAGTAAACCCGCGATCTACCTTAAGTTCTACGTATTTGTTAAAGTGAGCCGAAATCCAACGTTTTCAATGAAAAAGAAAGAAATTACCATTTGAGCAAGATATACCGGCGTCTTGAAAATGCCCACAACTACTGGGATTTTTTGTGGAAGAGCATGACTGAATAGCAGGTTCATCTCCGTTGCACCGTAGATTGCTGAAAAGAATCGGCCCCGATCCCATTCCATAATAAGCAGATGTTTTTGCTTGAACAGATCTCCTACAAAACGAAAATAAACAGTATGGCTTTATTTGTGCTTATTTGCTGTTGACTTAAGTTCCCAAAATATGTTGATTAAACACCATTGACATGTTACTCTTTTATTTTGCTTTTTTGCAAAAAATGCATTATGCTTTTTCGACAGAAAAAACAGCATCACAAGCAGTTTTAGTGTACCATATATACTATTAAAACACCTCTTAATACAAACTGTAATAATAAATGACCGAAATCAGGGGGGGGGGTTATAAAGTTTACCCTAATTGAATTTAATTAAAAAGTAAAGATAATGAAGTGATCGATGTTTCAAAAACAATTATGTAAAACGGACACAAACACGGACCCCAGTGAATTTCCAGTGTTTGGATCAGGTGCCTAGGAGGGGTAAACATCCCCCTTGATGGGTCACACTCACGTGAGCCAAACGCATTAAAAGTGGAGGAAGGAGGGAGGAATCAAAATAGGTATTAAATTTAAATTGATAATATGAAAATGGCTTTTGTGTGCACTTAACCTGATAACATTTTTTATGTAAGTACTGGAGTCCTTTTTTTATGTGTTTGGAAATATTTTGTATATATTCCCTACTGTGATACTGTTTTAGATATTTGAAGACGCAAGACAGAGTGAACATAATATATTCTTTGTTATATAAAAAAAAATTCTTAAAAATATTTGTGATTGCATCTAGGATAAATATTAAAATATCTTTTATTAATGTGGATGCAAAATGGATATAATTCACAACACATTATGTTGGTGTACACTTTTGAAAAAAATATCTAACCTAGCTCGTAACATATGGGTGTAAACCCAAATGTTCCGTCATAACGCATTGAAAAACTAGGGGTAGAATTAATATATCGAACCCTAAAAATACTTTTTTTTTCAGGTTAAGATGTGGCAAACTTTCTGTTGGCACAACAAATTAAATTTACCATTCCTTCACTCAAATATGAAGATAACTTTTAGGATCTTTTAAATATTTCTTATATGAAATATCCACCCATTTATCTTGTGAAAGCTAATTAGAGAAAATGTTTGTTTTCTTACGTGGGTAGACCTAACTGTCGACATGCTACTCTAGCATCCGATTCTCCGAAGCCGTCATCACAGACTGTACCCCAAGGTCCGCGTTCATGCCATTTGATTTCCAGACGACCATTGGTCCGGTCGGTGCCATCTCTCAGGCGGATTATACTCGAAGCATTAACTGAAGTTGTTTAAACCATTCAATTGATAGTCTTTTTGTAATGACTTCAAAATAAAAAAAGAAAATATCATTTTAAAAGGGAACTTGACTTACCACACACTACCCCAGCATCATCGGAGTGGTCACATGAAGATCGAAAAAAATGACATGATAACAAATCCTCTTCATCTCCCTTACAATCAACCATGTCGACATGGATAGGACCAACTCCTTTCCCAAATTCAGCATTCTTCATTGCAACACCGTATCTATAACAGGGAGGAACAAATATAAAATATTTTCCTTGCTTCAATAAATGACAATGACTGCTGTAAAAAATATGAAACTGACTTTCCGAGTCCTAGTTGTTTGCAGACGACTGTTGCGTCATTATCATCCCAGTTTCCGTCACATATTGTGGACCATATGCCTTCAGTGACGACTTCTACTCTTCCCATGTTTGTTGCGTTTCCATTCACCAATCTTACGTCTGATAAATAAAGAGGATTTAATGTAATAAAGCTCTTCTTTTCTAGTCAATCAAATCAATTTTAAATGACTGTTTATCTAAATAAATAACACTTTAAAATGTAAAAGTTTCAATGCAACATACGGAGATAAAGATCATTATACGAAATCAAAAGTCCATAAAACAATACAAAATAGCAGCAGAGCAAACATGTGTAGTTATTATATATTTTTATGATCTATATCATAATAAAGTTTCAATCAATAGCATTTTTTAGAAAAAAAGAACACGTTTTGCTTAATACAATTGAAATTAAAACAACTTTGAATAAGAGATTTACCATGGAGACAGGGTCTTCCATTATCTTCGCACTGACATGCGTCCCCAGTATACCCAGCCTTACAGCGACAGGTCCCGGTAGTTTTGTCACAAGACTCTGTGTGCATCCTGACACAGGCACATTTGTCACAGTTTCGACCAAACGTCCAGTTGGAACAAACTAGTACATGTAAGTCAAACACAAAAGGTATATGATTATACTAATCTAGTATATTTAATAAATGTAACAATTTTCCTACCTTCTTTTTAATTGTTCTTAATTTAACCATACTCAAACTTAATCAATCTATGAAGCAAGTGTTTCTCGTGTTTCTCACCACAACTGGACCCTGCAACGATAATTCTGTCAATGGCAGTCCTCTCCTCCATCCTGATTTTAATCTGAATATGAAATAAAATATTTAACACCATTAGAAAGTTTGTATATTTGCAGTGTTATAACATAAATAGTCCTTTATATTGATTGAATGATAGTGTGTTGTTTTAGGTCCTATTTGATAATTTTTCAATCATCTAGAGGGGTCACAGAGTACCAGTTAATGGCTTCAAAATTAGACTTTACTTGCCTCTCTAATGAACAATGAGGGATTTTTATTGTGCCAACGTCTGTCTTGACGAAAGGCCTTGAGTTTTAAGATCTCATCCGAAGGACCACAACTTTCACTATAATGCTACAAATGCTTGACAAAGGAACAATTGCTTCATTTTTAATTGACTATAGTCAATTAAAGGCCCGGGTTGAAACCAACAATTTTCCATCACGGAGCAGCTCACCTATCGTAACAGTCTATTCGTTTAATTTGGTGGTGACAAAAATCTCAATAGATTTTTTCATTGGGGATATTGGAAATTAGAACTGGAATGCTATGAAGTACAATGTGTCTTACCAAATTATCATATAATTTCAATACCAGCAGAATTAAGGCAATAAAAGTTAACAGTTAACAAAGGCTTTAAATAGTTTAAACTTCTTTTGTAAAATTGGATCAAAATTGGGTGAAACTACAGGTACTGTGAGCAATGATATCCCCCGCCTCTCATATGATTATAATGTCAAAGTCCATGTTTTGATCTGAGAGGCCCGAAATAAATGTCTCTTATATCTTATCGGCATCTCCTCTTATATCACTGAATGATATTAAATGAGACTTTCACAGATTCTTTGTTACATAGTGCCACTGTGCAGCTCATATTTTGATTTTTGTTCAGAAGTATATTTCGGGTTCTCATAGCAAAACATAGACACTTTCATTTTTTTTCCATAAAATCGTAGAAAACTCATCTCTTATCCGCATATCCTCCTATACCACTGAATAATATTCAAAGACACTTACTAAGATTCTTTGTTACAAAATACCATTATGTACCTCCTATTTTACTTTTTTATCTGACTTTATTACCGGTTTCCATGAGCAAAACATGGATTATACCAAAAAAATCAAATTTGTATATTAATTTCAGAAAAAATGTGACTTTAAGGATATAGCGGGATACAGATATGACGAAAAGAGGTTTCGTCCCAGGCTCTTCGTTATGAGCGTGTTACATGTTTTTGTTTTTCAAATTAATATTCTGAAATTCCTACCATGTATATAGGTTTTGACCCATTTATCTGCGTGTCTTTGGACGTCCAGTTTTGCTGCGACCCAGACAGAACCGCTACGGAAGATTCCAAGTACGAGTTATCTATTGTAGAGATCCTTATCGACCCTCGACCATAAAGGAAGTAGTCAAAGTAAAGACAAAACTGCTTTCCTATTGATAAAATGTAATAATTATTGTTAGTGCTATAAAATCACATGACATAGCATAATGGTATAAAATTATATACAAGAGGCCCAAGGGCCTTATAGGTCACCTGTGTATTGTGCAACAACTTTCAAACAATTAAATTTGGTTCGTGTTTTAGACCAGAGGCCATGGAATTCACAATTTTGAAAGAGGTACCATTGCTTATAATAATTATAGACTTAGCATGTTTAATCTATTTACTTAATACCCAGAGGTACATCAGAGTAACATAAAGAGAAAATGCACTTCCACTTTATAACCAGTCGTGCACCTCATCCCAAAGGAACCACAGATCCTGGGGCCACATATTTCAAAATTTTGAAAATTTTATCATAAAATGGTTGATTAACACCAAAGAGCAGATTTCAAATCATTAATTTATTTTCATACTTTGTACCCCCCCTCACCCCGACCCAAGGAAGGGGCGGGGGGGGGGCATAAAAATAACCATTTTGCTAGGTGTACCTTTCTTCATCATGAATATATATATTTGGATCATTGGCATAAAACCCAGGAGCCAAGGAAAGATGTTCAAAGAATTAATGTAGTTTCACTATATAATCAATAGAGCCCTGCCCTAACACCAGAACCCCTGACCCTGGGGCCATCAAATTCAAAATTATGGATGAGGCACTCTTGATCAACATAACTATTTACTTACATAGTTTATTTAATACCCTGGAGCAGAGAAGAAGAATTTCAAAGAATTAATGCATTTTAACTATATGATCAATAGAGCCCCGCCCTAACACCAAAACTCCTGACCCTGGGATAATAAAATTCACAATTTCGAAAGAGGCTCTCTTGATCAAAATAACTATTTACTTACAGAGTTTATTTAATACCCTGAAGCAGAGAAGAAGATTTTTAAAGAATTAATGCATTTTCACTATATGATCAATTAAGAACCCCTCCCTAACACCAGAACCCCTGACCCTGGGGCCATAAAATTCACAATTTTGGATGAGACACTCTTGCTCATCATAACTATGTGCTTGGTTAGTTTATTTAATACCCAGGAGCAGAGAAGAAGATTTTCAAAGAATAAATGCATTTTCACTATATAATCAATTAAGAGCCCCTCCCTAACACAGAACCCCTGACCCTGGGGTCATAAAATTCACAAATTTGGAAGAGGCACTCTTGCTCACCATAACTATGTGCTTAGTTAATTTATTTAATACCCAGAAGCATAGAAGAAGACTTTCAAAGAATAAATGCATTTTCACTATATAACCAATAGAGCCCCACCCTAACACCAGAACCCCTGACCCTGGGGCCATAAAATTCACAATTTTGGATGAGACACTCTTGCTCATCATAACTATGTGCTTGGTTAGTTTATTTAATACCCAGGAGCAGAGAAGAAGATTTTCAAAGAATAAATGCATTTTCACTATATAATCAATTAAGAGCCCCTCCCTAACACAGAACCCCTGACCCTGGGGTCATAAAATTCACAAATTTGGAAGAGGCACTCTTGCTCATCATAACTATGTGCTTAGTTAATTTATTTAATACCCAGAAGCATAGAAGAAGACTTTCAAAGAATAAATGCATTTTCACTATATAACCAATAGAGCCCCACCCTAACACCAGAACCCCTGACCCTGGGGTCATAAAATTCACAATTTTGGAAGAGGCACTCTTGCTTATCATAACTATGTGCTTGGTTAGTTTATTTAATACCCAGGAGCAGAGAAGAAGATTTTCAAAGAAATCATGCATTTGCACTATATAATCTATGTAGCTCCGCCCTAGCACTAGAACCCCTGACCCTGGGGCCATGAATTTCACAATTAAAGTAGAGGACTCAATGCTCATTACATTCATGCCAACAGTTTGCCTGCTTGATGTCCAGGAGTAAAGAAGAAGATTTTTAAAGATTGGAATAATTTTAGTGGTTTTGCCCCCACCCCTCAGGCCCCAGGGGGGGGGGACCATGAAATTCACAATTTTTGTTTCCCTTCACCCATAGATGCTGTATACCAAATTTGGTTGAAATTGGTTAAGTGGTTTCAAAGAAGAAGCTGAAAATGTTCAAATGTTAACACACGACGCACGACACACGACACACGACACACAACACACGACGACGGACGAAAACGGATAGCAATAGGTCACCTGAGTTACTCAGGTGACCTAATAATATGGACATGTACGTACATATATAACTTACACCCGTGTATAATTGAAATGTTCATGTGAAGTATACTAAGTACTTTTCATTTCTTATAAGCAACCCTCGTTATTAAAACCAACTCTAAAAAATCAAACAAAATGCATAAGCAATACAGCTCATCTGAGTCGATATAAACCAGATGATCCCATAATTAGTTTCTGATGCAAACCCTTAATAACATGCAGTGGTACGTTCCACTCTATATCCCCTGGATGATTTGATAAAAAATTAAATCTACACTATCCGAGGTTATTCATACAAAAAATGACGGCTTAGGTTATACCGTTCCTATTTTAAAAATTCCTACGCTACCTGAGGATACTTCCGTGTAAAAATGTCTTATCTCCGCTTTATTGCTCATAGACTTTTTAACAATAAAAACAAATTGTTACCCAATGTGGCATTAACATACCCCTGAGTTCAAGATTTACTTGAAGAAACTTGAACCTTTAATACCTGATATTGAATACATAAAGGCTATATTTCATTGTTGCCATATAGAAGTTCGATGTAAGGGGGCAATGATACATTGTCCGATGAAAACAATTACAGACTCTTTTGATGGGGAATATGGTTTGTTATTTAACAAAAGATTTCAATATCGGTTTCGCCTCGGTCAGTATTGATATTTTTCTGGCAAATAACAAACCATACTCACCTTCGAGAAAGTCCATAATTGTATTTTATTGAATGTGGTTACATATGTAGCATCCAAAACAGAATTTAAACTCTAATTTCAACTACATGTACCACTGCAAAACGAAACCCTATAACGATCATTAAGGGAACTTTTACTACAATATTTTAATGTGAAAACTGACTCCGCGAAGTCAAGGGATATAAAGAGTGAATATTGCAGTTCAGTGTTTTCTTAACAAAAGCTGATGATGACACTTACGTTTTATATTCAACGTTATATTCATTTCAGTATTATAACTATCAGCTGACAAGTAATAAGGTTTCGTATCCAGATAAACGTAATTCAAGTCATCAGTTCCGCTGCTTGGTTTCCAGCCGTACGTTGATCCGTACTATAAAAACAAAATGTTAATTATGAAACAGAGAGGGACATTTCTTTCATTCTTTTTCTAAAGAAAATTCAGAAATTTATTTAACAGTAGGAGGATAGATGAACAAGAAAATTGCATTCTGTTTGAAAAAGATAAAATTTCAATAATGACGGGTTCGAATCCCACTGTGGGACATAGAGACCGGTAATTCGGAATAGACCGTATAAACCGAGGTCCCGTGTCGCAGTAGGTGATGGCACGAAAAAGATCCCTCCCTGCTCAATGAGCCTGAGTGCCGAGTATAGGACAAAATTTGTAGCTCTCCACCGGCAAGTGGTGGTGTCTCAACATGGGTGAAAAATTCTCAAAAGGGAAGTTTAACATATAATCAATCAATGAATTATGACATTTTCTATAATTCACAAAACATTAACATATACTTTATGTAAATCTTACCAAACCGCAAATCATCTATGAAATAGCATACAGTGTACATTCAAAAATGACACCAAAAAGGTGGAAATGATTAATTCTTTATACCACTCCACATTTATATTTCATATTGGCGCGTCTTAGCAGTATTTCTTTGAAAGATTGTATTTGAGCTAGATTATTATTCCTATTCTCATTATTCCTTCATAGTATGCACAATGATAAATATTCTTAGTTAATAAAAAAGAACAATGACCTACTAGACCCTAAGTTTAATTTTTATGACACCTTAAACTCGTATCTCTGAGAAAATATTTGTTCATTTAGTCTATTTTCTTAAACCTTAAAGTAAATGTCAATGTTTGAAATTAGCGATATATAGTTGTGATGAACGATTCCTGAAGGGAAAAAAAAAATGATTTTTCAGTCTGCATTTTTACTGTTGGGTTCCCAGCAAATATCTCATTACATGTATTTATTTTTATTTATAAAATTTTCGACCAAAATAAATCCTGCAGAAAAGTTATAATTGTCACAATTTCATATATTAAAAAGATAAGAGATTTAATTTTAAGTCAATATCCCCAGTCCTCTCTGCATTAATTTTTCGTGCCAAACTGAATCATTATCAAAGAAAAAGGATAAGATGAAATTCATCTTAATATAGAATGTAAATATTAATTTCGTTCTTTGTATAAACGGTTCATAATATATATATTATAATTCATAAGATTATCAATGTTTAAGTTTTTTTTCTATTTAGAAAAGTTTTGAAGAGGAGCGAAACAAAAAAGAGAAGTTAATGTATACAATTTCCTTTGTGTGAATCTTTTAAAATAACTATTGCAAAACTAAATGAAATATAAATTCTGTAAGTTTTACATTAACCATATAAATAAAATATTTTCAGTCAGTTTAACATATTTGTGCGAACGTTAAAATAAAATATATTTTCAGCAATTATTATGCATTGAAAGTTACGATTGGTTTTCTGGGAATCATAATATTATTAAAATCACTTATAACTAAAAGAAAAAAGAAGCTTTTTAAAGACTAAATCGCTAAATCTATTTCACTAAAATTCAACCTACGTGCCTACATGTACAGTGTATACGGCATATATTTCATAAGTTAGTATAGACAAATTGAAAAAAAAAAACATCAAGACAAAATTATTTACAAAGTAAATAAAGTAAATCTTATCTTTCCTGCGAGTCAAATATGAATGGTTTAAAATCATGTTAATTTTAAAATATAAAAAAAAATCATGTTAATTTTCAAAATTCCTTTTTGAAAGTTAACCTAAACCAGTTAATATCGTCAAATTTTTTTTACCATTGGATTTAAAGCTACGTTTACACTATGTTCCCGGCAGCCACGGCAGCCCCGTTTGCCCGAAACGTAGTGCGCCGTGAGATTTTGGTTATTTTCCCCTCTATATCCAAGTCTTGACAAGTTCTTTTGCGGTCTTCTACGGTCTTCTACGGAATCCGTGATGGGCAGTAGGAAGAAGTTGCCGTGGAGTGCCGGAGGCTCCACGGCGCACTACGGTTCTGCCACGTATGCCAGCACGTTCCCCCCAGGCCTCTTACGTTCTGATAGGTCCCCTCTCGTTTCTCGCGTTCATATGAAGTTCTTATACGTTTCTCACGTTCTGTCAAGTCTTTCTACGTATGAAACATGGACGCCGGGAAACTATGGATCACGTTTGTACCAGAGAAGGTCTCCTAACCAGAAACAATCATTGTATCATGACCCTTCGAAGATAAAACATCATGAATACCCAAGACGAAGATTTTATTTTCGCGTGTTTGCTGGGTGCATACCTAAAATCACTTCGTCAAAATGAAGAGAACCAGCAGCAGTTACAGAGAGGGAAGGCAGGAGTGCAGCAACTAGGAATGAGACGAATAAGACGAATGAAACTTGTCTGCAGTGCCCGGCTTTTAAATGCTTCTTCTCAGACCGCGTGCGCCGTGTCAGACCGTAGTAGAACGCAACGCACCGGGAGCATAAACCGTAACATGCCGGGACGAACCGCGATTGAACGCGAGGAAACGGCTACCATACACCCTAGTTTGCCGTGAGGACCGTGATGAAACGTGGCAGAACGTGATTAAACGGACAACAACCGTGAACTAGCCGCGACAGAACGCGGACTAAACTCAGCAAAACGTCTCAATACGTGAATGGACCGTGAGATGAATGGAAATATACATTCTCCCGTCCCACTGCGGACTGCTTCCAAGTTCTGTTAAGGTCTATTACGTGCTGTCGCGTTTTGTTGCGTTTATTCCGTTTTACTACGACCTACTAAGTTTCACATCTGCAACGTGGCCGCCGTGGCAAATTTTTTGACAGTTTAAAAATCTGGCACGGCATCCACGGCAATCGCGATGAGTTACGTTTGCCCATCCCGTTGCCCCAAGTTTTCTAACGCCCGTCCCGTTTTTTCCACGGTGGCCTGAAACGTGATTGCCGTGGCTGCCGGGAACATAGTGTAAACGTAGCATAAAAGAGTCCATCTCATTCTGTCCTAAAGCAGTGAGAACAGTATAGGTATATAGCTATTTTCTTCATCAATTTAACTTTACTGTTATTAAATTTTTAGTAAGTTTCTGTTTATTATCTACATTGCATAGTTCTGACAAAATTTAAAAATAGCATAAAAAATGTATATTTGCAATACGAATAAAAAAAATCATGTTAATTTTCAAATAATTTTCTTCTTTTTAAAATTTATCCTAAACCAGCTAATATCGTCAATTTTTTTTACCATTGGATTTAAAAGAGTCCATCTCATTCTCAGTGAGAACAATGAATGTATATAGTTATTTTCTTCATCAATTTAACTTTACTGTTATTCAATTTTTAGTAAGTTTTTGTTTATTATCTACATTGCCTAGTTATGACAAAATTTAAAAACAGCATAAAAAATGTATATTTGCAATACGAAGCACTCTATTAAAAAATTAATATATATTGATTTTTCCATTTTAAATCCTGTTTATGATTCAAAAAAAAATTATTTTATTTTTATAAATCGGAATTCAAGGTCGGTTAATGACTTTAAACGCTTTTTTTTACCATTTGCATATATTCTTCTGCTCTAAAACAGTAAAAAATTAACATTATTATTATTTCATCAGGTCTATGTATGGTTTAGTCTAAATTAAACTTAATCATCTTTAGAATTCTGTTATTAATTTAATTTCATCCATTTCGCTTGTTTTTTTTAATCAAATTTAAAAGCATAATATTTTTCTTAGGGCATGTGAATTATATTTTCAAGCACATTGCTAAAAAGGTGCCTTTAATCTTCATTAACAGATGAATTTATTTCATTTTAAATCATGTTAATTTTCCCCAAAAATCTTTCTATATTGGTTATCCCAAAACCAATCAATGTCGCCAAAAACAATTTTACCGTCGGAAATCTGAAAATTTTTTGGAAAATAAATACACATTTTCGTGATAACTAATAATATCAACAATTATTATATATTAAGATTCTATAAACAGTTGAAATGTACTTACAGAGTTATGGTACAAACGTGTATTTGATGTTTCAATGCCGCACGTACTTTTCCATGAATACTTTTCAAAAGAGCAAAAGTAAATGACATCAGCAAAATCTAAAAATCAAAATAAATTTAAGCATCAATATTGAACACAAAATTAGATAGAGTAGGGGGAGGAAAATAGAAAAGAATTTACAACAAATGATCAAATATTGTATATCAGTGACAATATTGTGATACTATGAGCGGATGTATTAATGTTACATGGCATTAAATCATCACTGCAAGAAAGACATGTTCACATGCATACATGTTCTCTTTTTGAGCAACTGAGAACTTGTATTCTAAAATCCAATATCAATTTTTGGAGAGAAAAAAATACAGGCAAATAAAGCAAAAGCTCCATGGCCTTATCAATCACCAGAATATCACAATTTTTTCGGGAAATGACCATTTTCCATTCACCTAGAACTGGTCTTCACTTGCGTGATTAAAAACTTTCAAATTTCGCCAGAAATTTAATTAAAATGCTACAAAAATAATTTTTAATATATATTTCAATTTAAATTAATTATGAAATTTGAAAGTTTATAATACGTGAATCAAATTTAATTTATTTGTAAATGATTGCTTTTGCACATAAAATTTTCTTTCATCAACTTAATTGAGAAATATATATACTCGAGTTTGAATATAACAAGGCTTTCTTTAAAGGGACATAGACACAGTTTCAGCAAAAATCCCCCCCCCCCAACTTTTTATGTTTACAATTACTATATTAACTAAGGTAATCTTAAAGATAAACAAAAAATTGAGTTTAAGTTGTCGAGATACAAGACAGATTTTGAGCTCTAAATCTTCGTTATGTAAACAAGGCCCGAGCCATGATTTTGATTCATAGGTTAAATATATTAATATGTGTTTGTTAAATGCAGATTTTTTATTAAAAAAAGGTAATTTTAAATACAATTCGAAAGTTTCTGGTGATTTGCTGGATCTCGTTTTGTTATCAATATATTTTCTTTATGTAAACAAAAACAAGGCACGAGCCTTGTTTCCAATACGAAGAAATTTAAGTTCTGTATCTCCTTTGTAAATCAACAAAAGATGTTGAAAATTTTCCTGAGCATTTGAATTTTTTTTATTAGGAATTTTAAACATTAAAATTGATTAAAAAAAATCAACAGAAACTGTGACAATGTCCCTTTAAATACCACGAATCAGGAACAAACTATTCGTGGAAAAATATCTCATTGATTTGGCAAATTGAAAATTTCTTAGCTATATTTGTTATGGAAATATAATTTATATGTAAAAAAAAAAAAAATAAAAGACTTAGTTACATGTACCATGTAAGTAAATATCACATTTATTCAAAGTAATTACAATTTAAAAAAAAATTCAGAAGTCGTTCGTACTAGGAACGGAAAAAAAAGAATTAAAGAACGAACAAATTTAGTTCTTGAAAATGAAATTCAGGACATAATCATGATCAGAAATCTTAAAGTGTTAAAGATACTCGGTCTATATGTGACTTGTAATGTGTTGGCTTCAATTACTTTTCAATTTCAACATATAATTCTAATTACCTGAACAAGAAGCTGACTGATTAAAAGACCCTTCTTTGCAGATACATCTGTCAAGTTTACATTTAGAGGACGATGCCGAGCAAGACTCGGTAGACACGTGACAACTACAGTCCTCCCCTTTAAAACCGTCACGACAAGAACAGGTCCCGTCTCTGAAATCACACCAAGTACTTGTATCCCTGTCACAATCACACGTCTCGGAACAGTCTGCTGAATACCTCCATTCTGGGCACTCTAAAATTAAACATGATATATATGGTGAACTGTCGTTAGGAATTTACATGTATCAAATATTCATCACCAATCATTCTTTAGATGCATAGTGCAAATACATGTACATGTATGTCCCATTAAAAAGAATCTGTATATAAGGACAAGACTAATTAATTTGTATCTAACAACGGTATCAAAGTTTGAGAGAACATCCATTATAGAAATTCAAGAAAACAATGACACAATAATTTTGAACTTTCGTAACAATACAAGGTAGGTCATAAGGTATTTTCTAGAAGATTCGTTGTAACCTATCGGACTTCAAAAGTATTAAAAAAAACATTTACATGGGCACTGAAAATATCTACAAACCCCTCTCCTTAGAAATATGAACCTTTAATAAAAATAAGAAAAATATAGCTGTGTTATAAAAAAGAATAATCATGTAAAATACTCAGAGGAATAATTTATTTCATGTATGACGATGCTCACTCAAAGTCAATAAAAAGGTGCAATCAATGTCGCCGGCATTTCTGAGTAAAGTGGTTACCGACAGGGTGCAAGTGTTATTAGTGTTAATATATTAATACCTTAACTGACTTGAAAATATATTTTTTTGTAAACTCTAGCAAAATATTTTAAGACGAGAGAGCTTTGAATGGGCCATTTGGTAACTTACGTTACTGTCGCCACAAAAGGTTTTCATCTTCAACGCTCTTAAAATAAAAGAAAAATGCTGCACTGCTTATTCAAATATCACTAATTGCTGTATATGATGCTCCTTTTTGAATTTTCAGTAGTCTTCACTATCATTTTGGTTGTTAACTATGATTTTCATGGAACAATTGCTGTGTCGCCAGGTTCGTGTTTTAACATATATAGTTTTTCCAATGTTCCGAACGACGACTTTTTATTTTATTTTTTCATGAATGTTTACGTTTAATTTGGAGATATTATATGATCTTTCATTTTAAAAAAGAGAAAATCATAATTGTAATACTATTTTGATGACAAACTTTTCGAAATTGGGAAATTTATTTTTCTGAAAATAAAAGTGTAACATACGTTACATCATTTTTAGAGTTATCTAGTAATAGGACAGGTTAGCAAAGTTTGCTCTTTCAATCATGCTCATTTGTCAATAAATTAAAAGTTCTAAGGTCAGGCAACAACTGATTCTGAAACTCCATCGGTAGATTAAAGCTTGTGATTTAACAGGACCTGTTTAACATACGTGATGTAACATACGATACCGGGATTTTCTATTCTGACTACACTGCGACATTTACCCGCGAAATTTGGTGTCACGTGAGCATAAAAGAATGCCTGAACATGATCTGTGCAACACAAAAGCACGTGTGAACAATTTTTCCTCGATCCTGTCATATCACAGCTGTAAATAGTACGGTTTGTTATGTTGAGCTGTTATAAGGTGATGAGGTGGAATCATTCCATACGACTCTTATTTAAAATATGACAGAAAGCCTATAGTTAGTAATAATACAAAAACATTACTCAAATTTACTCGGATATTTTGGAAATTGGCAATAAAATGAAGGTAACATACGTTACACTTGGTAACGTATGTTACTCAAACTTATAATATTTCAGTTAAACATTTATTGATGTGAAAAATCAAAACTTCTAGCATATTCATTTTCAATACAGATAACATAAGTTAATAAAATAAATCTCTTTAATTTATTTTATTACATTTAACCGTAAAATGAAAAATAAGGCCCTACCTGGGATTTGATGTCAATTTTATTTTTTTTGTAATTTTGCAGATACGATTTGATCATAAACATGGAAAATTTAATGCTGCCATTGTATAACAATTACTTTTAAATATTCTACTTCACTTAAAGTGGGGAAGGCATTTTATGAAATGGTATTTCAAAAACATAGACAACAATAAATATATAAGACGTTGGGTGACGTATGTTACTATATTTGGTTACTTTTATTCTAGGCAAAAATAGTTCTTTCGCGTGCTAAAATTCAAAAAATGTACAGAAAGAGAAAAAAGGCAAATGAAGGGGAAAAGTTTCTGACAAAAGGAAGGACGAGGCAGAAGAAATTTGATAGATTTGAGCAGTATATAGTCAATTTTAGAGAGAAATTTGATTCTTTCATTAACAAATAGAATGATACAATATGTAACCTACAGAACCACTTACAGAATCATATTAAGGATGTAAAAATGCATTATTAAACAAGTGTCTTAACTGCTTTAGTGTTTCAGTGATTTGTGGATTTTCTTTTCTGTCAGTTGAAGATGTGCATATAAGTTTTGAATTGTAACATACGTTACTATAAATTACATAAATACATGCCAAACTTGATTAAAATGATTTTATTATGTTGAATATTAGACATGAAATAGGAATTACGATCATCGTTTTAGCTAGAAAGACAACCTTAATGTTCAATTTCATTTTATAAATGTAAAGTTGTCATTTTTATAATTTTGTCTTATAATTTTACTTTAAATTAATAATAAAGACACCATTGGTTTATTCAAGAATGACTAACTGCTAAATTGTATGTGATATGTATGTGTTCTAGTAAAAAAAACTTATTTTTCATTTGAATGCACTTTACAGAGCCGTCTTCAAACTATTAAAGAGCCATAGCTGCCTAACCGACTACTCGGCCTACACAAGTATTTAAAAGGAAATCACCTGTTTCTATTTATAGATACATGTACCTTTTCAAATCAAAATCAATCCACATGTATGTAATCATTTGTGAACCAGAGTTATATTTTCATAGTTGCAAGTTTGTTGCATGACAGCAATTTTACTTGTCCAGTACTCTTATTCTAAACAAGATTGTTTGAAAATTTTAAAAATAAAACTGGGTAGCAGCTATAAATTTGGGTCATTAAAATAGTTTAAGACTGTTTTTCCCCAAGACACTTTCAATGTGTTATGTTGCATTATATATCTCTTTTAAAAATTATTTATACATGTATTATAAAATAATAAAAGAAAACATAGGAAAATGCACAGGAGAAAAGAAAATAAAATCGTTGTACACGCACTGTGAGACTCGAACTCACGATCATTATATCTTCAATCCAGCAATCAAACCACTCTGCCGCGAAGTCTTGATTATCAAGTGGATAAAATTAAGACAGATTGTTGAATTTTGAAATAATTTCAGAAGAAAAATTAAATACATATTTTCAACATTTAAACCTTTAACCAAAATTATCTAAGCATAATGAAGTGCAGTCATATCCAAATAAAATTATTCATAGGTTGTTTTTCTGGTTAAGGGTGGTCTTTTCCTACAGTTTGTCATTGTTTAGGGGGTGCCTCAGTATCTACTATATTCTCCATATAAACTGAACGATTTTTATAACTATCATATGAGGGAACTATTAATAACTGAGTATTATTTTTGTGTGAGTTGCTTTAAGGAATGTATAAACTAACATTGTAAGACAAAATTTCTGTTAAACAAAGCATTTCAAAAATCACTACTAGAGTAGGCGAAAGTGACTATCAAATGCGCTATAGCTCTTTGGTTCGTCTTTTAAACCAGAGGCCATGAAATTCGCAATTCACAATTTTGAAAGAGGCACCATTGCTTATCTTAATTATAGACTTAGCATACTTACTCTATTTACTTAATACCCAAAGGTAGATCAGAGTAACAAAGAGAAAATGCACTTCCACTTTATAAGCAGTTATGCAATCATCCCAAAGGAACCACTGACCTTGGGGCCACATATTTCAAAATTTTGCAAATTTTATCATAAAATGGTTGATAAATATCAATGAGCAGATTTCAAAGCATTATTTATTTTCAGACTATGTACCCCCCCCACCCCTGACCCAGGAGGGGAGGGGGCATAAAAAATAACCATTTTGCTTGATGTACCTTTCTGTCATCATGTTTATATATATTCTTGGATCATTAGCATAAACCCAGGAGCAAAGGAAAGATTTTCAAAGAATAAATGTATTTTACTATATAATCAATAGAGCCCTGCCCTAACACCAGAACCCCTGACCCTGGGGCCATAAAATTCACAATTTTGGAAGAGGCACTCTTGCTCAACATAACTATGTACCTACATAGTTTATTCAATACCCAGAAGCAGAGAAGAAAATTTTCAAAGAGTAAATGCATTTTCACTAAATGATCAATAGAGCTCTGCCCTAAAGCCAGAACCCCTGACCCTGGGGCCATCAAATTCACAATTTTGGAAGAGGCACTCTTGCTCATCATAACTAAGTAGTTACATAGTTTATTTAATACCCTGGAGCAGAGAAAAAGGTTTTCAAAGAGTAAATGCATTTTCACTATATAATCAATAAGGCCCCGCCCTAACACCAGAACCCCTGACCCTGGGGCCATCAAATTCACAATTTTGGAAGAGGCACTCTTGCTCATCATAACTAAGTACTTAGTTTATTTAATACCCAGAAGCAGAGAAGATTTTAAAAGAGTAAATGCATTTTCACTATATAACCAATAGAGCCCCGCCCTAACACCAGAACCCCTGACCCTGGGGCCATAAAATTCACAATTTTGGAAGAGGCACTCTTGCTCAACATAACTTTATACTTAGTTAGTTTATTTAATACCCAGAAGCAGAGAAGAAGATTTTCAAATAGTAAATGCGTTTTCACTATATGACCAATAGAGCCCCGCCCTAACATCAGAACCCCTGACCCTGGGGCCATCAAATTCACAATTTTGGAAGAGGCACTCTTGCTCAACATAACTTTGTACTTAGTTAGTTTATTTAATACCCAGAAGCAGAGAAGAAGATTTTCAAAGAGTAAATGCGTTTTCACTATATGACCAATAGAGCCCCGCCCTAACATCAGAACCCCTGACCCTGGGGCCATCAAATTCACAATTTTGGAAGAGGAACTCTTGCTCATCATGACTATGTACTTACATGTACATGTAGTTAGTTTACTTAATACCAAGGATCAGAGAAGAAGATTTTCAAAGAAATCATGCATTTTCACCACTGTAAATCACTTTTTATTCGCGAGAACTTTATTTTCGCGTAATTACGCGAGACAGTGTGCTCGCGAAAATTTTTTTCTCGCATGTAATAGTATTCCTTAAGATTTCATAGAGAAAAACCACAATTCATGAAAATTGTGTCTCGCTAATCAAGAGTCAATGACTATCTAGCGAAAATAAGGTGTCGCGAAAATTTAGTGATCTACAGTATATAATCTATGTATATAATCTATGTAGCCCCGCCCTAGTTCTAGAACCCCTGACACTGGGGCCATGAATTTCACAATTTTGGTAGAGGATTAAATGCTTATTACATTCATGCCAACAGTTTGCCTGCTTGATGTCCGGGGACCATAAAATTCATAATTTTTGTTCCCCTTCATAGATGCTGTATACTAAATTCCGTTGAAATTGGTTCAGTGGTTTCAGAGAAGAAGTTGATAATGTTCAAATGTTAACACATGACGCACGACACACGACGCATGACGACGGACGAAAACGGATAGCAATAGGTCACCTGAGTTACTCAGGTGACCTAAAAATCTGATACTGACCGCCACAGTGGACTTCTGGAGTGTATGAGCAAGAGGAGCCCGTTCTAGAAGGACACTCCGACACCAGGTTCTCTGTTCCTCTACAACTGACCGACCTCTCGGTGTATCCATATCTCCTATACTTTGAAGTTGAATATACAACTTCCCTGAAAGAATGGCAGTTTCCATCGAATGATCAGATGTGCTTACCTTATACTAGATGTTTGGCAAGTAAAATGATTGCTTAATATAATCACTGACACCCCTCTTGTGTTATTTACTTTAACGTGTTATTAACTTGTCAACATTTTTTACTCTCCCGTCTATTAAGAACAATATAAATGTATAACATTGTAGTTCTGCATAATGCCAGGTAACTGGAAATCATATCTGAAGATTGTATTGTCAAACAATAAAATGTGTATAAAATTTTCATTTTATATTATTATTATTTCGATCATTATGTATTGATATAGGCTGAATTACAGACGGAATAAACGGACCAGGTTTATTAATCAAACAATCAAGCCGTAAGACCAGATTTCTCATATGCGAAAGCACGTAACGATCTTGACAAGCAGTAGTTACCTCACTGTTGACAATTCAAGCCTTTGTTTTACAGAGCGAACGCTCGCAACCATTTCTATTGGAAGTATAAGAAAATTTGCTTTTTTGTGAATTTCAAGCTTAAGTCTCAGTACGTCACGCGTGACCTGTCATGGCTGCTGATCATGAGCTATTTTACATGGTTTTCGCGTTTAACGGGCTATGATTTCGACAGTGAATAAAAATTTCGTCTTATAAGAAGTAAATTGAATGTAAAAACAATTTATTCTGCCTGCAGTCACCCGTATCTAAAAAGTATTTTTGCACCATTACGGAGATGCTCTGGAATTGTGGCCCTCTCCAGAAAACATCAGATAAAAAAATCTAAGAGGGCTACATTATTGCAGCTAGTATTTACAAGTGATTTGTCCTTGTACAATTGAATGTAAAAAGTGAATAAAAGTAAAACAGGGGTCTTGAATTCTCAGATCATGCATACATACGTGCTTAGGTTAAGATGGCGACAGATAACTAAAGCGTTAGACTTTAGGTTGTTATTACAGATCCCGGACCATCCATAACCTTCGAAGACTTGCACGAAATTATCCTGACTTAAGCGCACATTGTCTGTTACAAAAACAATTACATTTTACATGCACTTTAATTTTAAAAACATTATTTAGGTCTTTCATATGCCAAGAATGAATGTTTAAACATTATTTTTGCAATTTTGTTATTTTTCATAATTCATTATAAATTTAGTTGTAATAAATAGACACAAAGATGAGCATGAAAATTAGAAGATAAATTATCAAAATTGGGTAAAAGTTTCCAAACTTATCAAGATTACGTGAGTTGCAATACTTTTAAAGAACACATTTAAAAACATATTTCTTATGCAAAAAGAATTACATTTAACTTACCTGTGCAATTGTGCTCTGATTTCGTAAAACCTTTTTTGCAAATGCATGATACTTCATTGGATTCCTGGTAGCAATCAGAAACGTTTAAGTCACAGGTATGAAGACCAGCTTGGCAGCTGCAGGAAAACCCGGTATACTCTGGCATACAGACACATTCTCCAGTCTCCATATCACAAGAAGCAGCATTAAAGCTGATACACGGACAATCTTCTTGACAATTGTCACCATATTTCATGTGAGGGCATTCTAAAAACATTTACTTTCTTGAACAATTATAAAATAAGTGAAATATACACAGAAAATTACAAAAAAAAATTATCTTGAAAACATCTCATTTTTTTAAGAAAGCGTGTATTATGAAATTGTATTCAATTACAAAAGAATTTAAAAAATAACCATAAATCATTTTTGAAATACATGTATGTTTGAATGGTATGCCTTGTGTAACTTTTCATCAATGGCCATTTTTCTCATTAAAAAACTTCTGATTCCAATATGTCATAAAAATATTTTGAGTTAAATGTGATACTAACCAGGAACAACCAAAAATTATACTCTCCTTTTTCATTTTATGACAGTGGGATGAATAAAAAAAATTACTTGTTACTAATATATATTAGCAACAAAAAATGTAAATATATTGTTAAATAAACTAATTGCATCCATGTAAGAGTAAGATTTTGCATTATCTGAAACATTATCTATTGTAGAAAATCAGTTTCGAGATCGAACTTTTAAAAACCACCATAAGAAAAACCAGAGCATATTAAGTCATTTATAATCGAATGATTTTTTTCTACTCCGGTTTCTTATGATGAAAGAACTTATTGTTGAATTGTGTCTTACCACTATCACAGGAGAGCTTAACCCTGCTGTATCTATAACTTGAACAATAACTCCCATTGTCAGCGGAGCAATCGGACAGAGTTTCTTCATTACCGTTACAATTCACATATTTCAGGTGCGTTTTAACACTTGACGATGTACTTCCAGATTTTCCTTGCACGAATTTCCTGTTTTAACAGAAAATTATTACAAAATACTGAGGCTAACTAGAACAAATTTGATAAAGACTCAATGTTCAATTCGATATCAGTCATTTACGATTGTTCATCAAGTGAAAATGTTAAGGAGGGTCATTACACCACTTTTTGATGACGTACTACACAAAATAATAAACCTCCATTGTGTCGACCGGTTTCCTCTGGGGACGAATCGTACAGGTACCTCTATTATATGACCCTGACCTTTAAAACGCTTTAAAAATAGATGAAACATGCGGTGTTATAAAAAGTGAAAACAAAGTAACGGATTCATAATGCATAAACCAAGAAGAATTGCTATTGAGCAGAAACAAAAGAAAACAACAGTCAAATCTTCACCAAACAAGTAATGTCAATTTCATAGCGATGCATGTATCAATCAATGACATGTTGTATGGAGGAAATTCGAGTTAAAATCCACATCCTTGTTGAAATTAAAAAAAATATTTACTTGCATTATTTACTGTGTTGGTGTTAATTTATATATTTGCTTTATTGATTTAAATGTATACTCTGGCATTTTAAAGTTTAAATGTTCTGAATTTTAGATGTAATGTCAAATGTTCCTTCGTGTTTTGAGTCTTGGGTAATTAGGAAAGATAACTCTTGAAAGTGGACTTCTTATTCCAAATATTTTTTAAATCGGATTTTTCATTTCGTTTAAACATTCTTCATTCAATTTGACACAATAAATTCATTGAAATACATTCCTTGTCTCTTCAGAACTCATTTTCTTAATGTTTTATACATAGATTAAAAAGATAATGACATTGATTGTTCTTTAGGAGAAAATTATTTTTTGTAATAAAATTATTATTAGGTATTATGAGGTATTTTCACTGTGTGTACTTGTCTTAAGAAGATGCCCATCATTTGACACTGAAGGTTCAAAAATTCTGTTAATAATAAACTTGAAATAAAACATTTCACTAAAATTAGACAAAATCTAAAAAAAATTATAAAAAAATATTTAGGATATCAATACTTCCATCTGGATATTTGACATCTACATTATAAGTGGTGCTGTATTGAAATCTAAAATAAACTGTGGATGTAATGAGCCACCTTAAGGCTAATGTAATTAATTTTATTTACTCTTTGTAAATTAAAATATATTTTCACTATAGTAATGTTGTAATTAATTTTATTTACTCTTTGTAAATTAAGATATATTTCACTTTGGTAATGTTTTTAAAAGTTGCGTAATTTCTGTATTTTTAACGTTTACATCATTTTAGATGGATCTTTTAAACATTTTTAAAAAATGTATTGAAACAAAACACAGGTGAAAAATCTCTTACGTTGGCAATCCCAGTTCTCGACAGGCTACAACAGCATCATCCTCATCAAATCCACTTTCACAAACATAACCCCATTCGTTGTTGTGATACACTTGTAGAATTCCACTAGTTTCTGTATTAGTTGTTTGTTTTGATATCAGCCTTATCCATGGTTCTAGCGTAAGAAAAAAATCAAGAAAATGAGCTGCTGTTACTGTTCATAGTTAGCTAAATTCACAGAAGAATTTAATTATTTTTCTTTTGTGCAATTGAATTTATTTAAAATGAAAACTTTTAAGAAAAATCATCCCACAAACCTACTGTAGTTGATCATGAAATTGGAACAACTACCATTGACCAAGTAAAACAAATTATTTTTGCTCTCCCTTTTGCATAAATATCGATCTTAATCTCAGCTAGGTTTCAGATGAACTACGTTTCATAGGTATTAAAAACCGAGTAATATGAGTATTTTAAAATTTTAGCTACTTTAACTACTGTTATGAATAATGAGTTTACATTATGTTATAAACATTGACTGTTGAAAAGTTTTTTTAAAAACCCACTTATTTTGAGAAAGCAGAAAATGAGATATTTTTTATACGCCATCGTTCCTTAAAATATAAAGAACCAGCTAAATTTTAAACCGAAATTACAATTTCATTTCTGTATTTATTAAACATAAATTATAGTCAATAAAAAAATTGGGGGAAGGGAGTGGGGGTGACGACTGTCCACTAAGGAAAGCGACGCTATATGCAAATGTCTGTTATAAAATAGTTGATAATTACCATTTGGACATACTATTATAGCAGGACGTGCGTTATAACAGTATGTGCTGCTGTCATAATCTCTTTCACAGTCTAGAAGACTTTGTTCTGTTCCATTGCAATTGATATTTGACCATTTGAAGTAGGAACTTGGTAAAGTGTCTATATTTCTAATTAACTGAGCATAATTCCTGAAACATGATCATAAACCAATCAAAGTAAAATTCTTTAGAGCTCAAACTCTTGAATAGTAAGATAAAGATTAAATTAAAAGCATCCTTGATTTTTATTATTATAATTCATTACAAAAATGACACTTTTTTTTACTCATTTAAATTCAAAAAAAGAATTCAAAGACTAAAAAAGATCTAAATAACCTCTTGAAATTTTATTTATTCCAGTGAAAATGTTTCCTCTATACTACTATGCATACCTGGGTCTAAATTATTATTTTTGGAAATTTTTAAGAAATCACAATTAAAAAATACCAAGGCAAACCAAGCTCTCGACACACAACTTGGACATCCTTTTTCGTCATTCTGTTTTTACACACTCCTCCCCAGGACCCAGATCGATATATTTCAACCGTGCCTTCATAGGAGGAAGTCTTATTGACCAGCCGTACTTGTTCCTCTGTTTAAATACAATTAATATAGGTATATAAGTGTACAACACATCATAAATATTTCACATTTATAAATTTCAATATTCTATTTATTAAAATATCTGGTTAACAAAACAGGCACATACTTAGACATTTTTCATTTTTGTACTCGTCCTCTGAAAATCCAGGCTTACAGAGACAGATGGCATTGCCAGAGCTGTTCGTGTGGCAGATTGATATCTTTAGATTGCAGGTGTGAACATTAGTGATACAATTACAGAAGTCACCAAAGTACCCCGGTTTACAAGTACATTTCCCCGTGTCCTCATCACAAGATGCACTGGTAGTCGTGTTACATTCACACCTCTTCTCACAAAAATCTCCATGGGTCCATTTTGGACATTCTTTATGAATAAAATTAATGGCTATATATGAAATTGATAATAACAAGAGGTCCAAGGGCCACATTGCTCATATAAGGAACTACATATGTAGCTAGGTTAAAGCAAAAATCAATCAGTTCAGTATTGAAAAGTTTAAATATATTATAACAAGAGGCCCACGGGCCACATCGCTCACCTGAGAAGCTTTGACCATTCTGTTCTTTACCAGATTTCTCCCTTGTAATACATACTCTGACCCCGCCCTATCCCACTGATTACAATTAAGACAATTTGAAATCTAAACTACCCCAGGATGCTTCCACATAAGTATCAGCTTTTCTGGCCCAGTGGTTCTTGAGAAGAAGATTTTTAAAGATTTTTCCTATATATTTTCTATGTAAAACTTTTAACAGACATTATGGCCCCACCTTAGCCTCGGGGGTCATGATTTGAACAAACTTGAATTTACACTATCTGAGGATGATTTCACATAAGTTTTATCTTTTCTGTCTCAATGGTTCTTGAGAAGAAGATTTTAAAAGATGTTTCCTATATACATGTATTCCTAAGTAAAACTTTGATCGGCCATTATGGCCCCACCCCACAATTTAGAATCTACAGTATCCCAGGATTCTTTCACATAATTTTCAGCTTTTCTGGCCCAGAGGTTCTTGAGAAGAAGACTTTCAAAGATTTTTTCCTATATATTTCTATGTAAAACTTTGATTCCCCATTGTGGCCCCGCCCAACCCCTGGGGGTCATGATTTGAACAATTCAGCACTTACACTACCCCAGGATACTTCCACATAAGTTTCAGCTTTTCTGTGCCAATGGTTCTTGAGAAGATTTTAAAAGATTTTTCCAATATATTTCTATGTAAAACTTTGATTCCCCATTGTGGCCCCGCCTAATCCCTGGGGGTCATGATTTGAACAATTCAGCACTTACACTACCCCAGGATGCTTCCACATAAGTTTCAGCTTTTCTGGCCCAGTGGTTCTTGAGTAGAAGATTTTTAAAGATTTCTCCTATATATTTCTATATGAAACTTTGATTCCCGATTGTGGCCCCGCCCTACCCCCGGGGGTCATGATTTGAACAATTTAGAATATACACTACCTCAGGATGCTTCTACCTGAGTTTCATCTTTTCTGGCCCAGTTATTCTTGAGAAGAAGATTTTTAAAGATTTTTCCTATATATTTCTAAGTAAAACTTTGATTCCCCATTGTGGCTCCGCCCAACCCCTGGGGGTCATGATTTGAACAATTTAGAATCTACATTACCCTAAGATGCTTCCATATAAGTTTCATCTTTTCTGTGCCAGTGCTTCTTGAGAAGATGATTTTTCCTATATATTTCTAAGTAAAACTTTGATTCCCCATTAAGGCCCCGCCCAACCTCCGGGCGTCATGATTTGAACAATTTAGAATATACACTATCACAGAAAGCTTACACATAAATTTCAGGTTTTCTGGCCCAGTGGTTCTTGAGAAGAAGATTTTTTAATGACCCAACCCTATTTTTATCTTTTCTTGATTATCTCCCCTTGTGAGTGGACTTGACCCTTCATTCTAACAATTTAAATTCCCCTTAACCCAAGAATGCTTTGTATCAAGTTTGGTCAAAATTGGCCCAGTGGTTCTTGAGAAGAAGTCGAAAATGTGAAAAGTTTACAGACGGACTGACAGACAGACGGACGGATGACGGACAAAATGTGATCAGAAAAGCTCACTTGAGCCTCCGGCTCAGGTGAGCTAAAACGGGTTCAGGTAGGAGGGGGGATTATTGAACAAACTTAAATTAACACTTCCTAAGAATGCTTTTAAATTAATATGACACATAATGGCTTGGTTGTTTATTGTTATAATCCACTTAAATGACGCTTTTATAGTGATGATCAATCATGGCTTTGTGAAGAATTTTAACGATATTTCCCACGCATTCCTATATAATACTTTGATACCCCATTTTGACCCCACTCTATAACCCCGGGGTCATGATTTGAACAAAAATAAGTCTACACTACCCGAGGATGCTTCCATATAAGTGTGACAAATCACAACTTTGCTGTTTTTTTAATAAAGAATTCTAAAAAAAAATATATGTAATGCTTCTATGATCACCATAATTGCCCCACTCTTGCCCTAGGGGTCATGATTCTTCACTTATAGAGGATGCTTCTACATAAGTTTCAACTTTCCTGGCCCACTTGTTCTTGGGAAGAAGATTTCAAGATGTTTCATGCATTCCTATGTTAACCTTTGATACCTCATTGTGGCCCCACCCTTCCTCCGAGGGGTATTGATTTGAATAAACTTGAATCTAAACTTTATGAGGATTTTTCCACCTAAGTTTCATCTTTCCTGGCCCACTTATTCTTGAGAATAAGATTTTTTAAGATTTTCCAAT